CCACCTGGATGTGTTTCTTATACAGTCGGCTAAGGATGGACCCTTCCACCTCGTTCATCTGGGCCTGGATGGCCTCCTGTGATAAGGCTGGCATTGCACAGGAGTTCTGGAGAAGGGAGCAGAGAGGAGACAGCAAAGAGCTTGGCTTGTCAAGGTGATTCCCTCTCTGTTAGTTAAAAGGGAAGGACTGGGGTTCTTCAGTGTGTTTCTGGCCTGCACCATACACCGTCCAGGAGAGCAGGCTGAACCCACTGTTACTAGGGCTTGAAACATCCCAGCTCTGCCTCTCACTGTATAGCCTTTAATGGCTCTTGTGATGGTTAATGTTTATTGATACTATGACAGGATCTAGAACCATCCAGGAGCATGCCTGTGAGTGTGTTTCTATATCAGGGTCACTGAAGAGAGAAGAGACACTTGGAATCTGGGTGGTGCTGTGCCATATGCTGGGGTCCTGGACTGAATAGAAAGGACAGAGCAGGCTGAGCACCAGTGCTCGTCACTTCTGGGCTTTCTTACCACGGGTGCAATGTGACTGGCTGCCTCAGCTCCAGCCACCACACCTTTCCACCATGATGGAGTGACTCAAACCATGAGCCAACATGAACTCTTCTCCCCTAAGTTGCTTCTTGTCAGGTATTTGATCACAGTAGTGAGGAAAGCTAACTAATACAGATCCTTAAACTCTTGGGATGATGTCCTGGTTGTTTCAGACCAATGCCAACCTACATTCAAAGCTCAGCCAAGCTGGACTCCACCTGGTTTTCATCCTCCACTTCTGTCTACACAGGGGCTCAACATCACACCAGGTCCCCAACTTCAGGGCACATACTCTGTACCTTTCCCTTGACAGAGATCTCTTTAGCCATTCCCTTTGTGGCAGAGGCCAACGTCTTCCTATACTCCCAGGCTCAGTCCCACCCTATGGCTCTTGCCTCCCCTGGCCTTTCTGCAACTCTGGTATTCTGAACTTCCTTAGCCACCCTGTTTTCTCCCTTCCTCCATGCTTTTGAGCAAGTTGCTTGATGCTGCCCAGGGCTTCCATTCACTGAAGGATCCTGAGTATCTTCCAGGCTTAGACCTCATCCCTTTGGAAGTCTCTCTGAACATCTGCTTTCATGACACCATAGTCCCTGGGCCTCTTTGCAAGTCCCATTCTACAGTCCCTGCCATCTCCAAGATCCTCCTGACGGTCCTTGAGAAATACTCTACTTTGCTTTCTGTTGCTATGTGATAAAACATCCAACATAAAACAACATAGGGGCAAAGAGGATTCATTTCCACTTAAAATTCCAGGTTGCTGTCCATCATTGTGGGGAAGTCAAGGCAGGAATTTTAAACAGCTATTCACATCACATTCACAGTATTTAAAAAACAGAGAAATTAATGTATACATGCTCACGTGCTTTCTCAATTGTGCTAGCTTGATCTCACCACCCTTACATAGTTCAGGACCCTCTGAATTTCCTGGGTGTTGGGTGTTGTCCACATCAGGCTGGGTCTTCCCACATCAGTTAGCTTAATTGAGGCAATACCTCCCAGGCCAACCCAATGCAGACAATTCTTCATTGAAACTATGTCCCTCAGTTACACTAGGTTGTGTCAAGTTAACAATTAATAAAGCTGATGTGTTAGAGATATGGCTCAATGGTTAAGAGTGCTACCTTCTCTTTTAGAGGATCAGACTTCAGTTCCAGCACTCATGTGATGGCTCACAACTGTCTATAGCTCTTTCCAGGGTATTCAGCAACCTCTACTGGCCTCCAAGGGCATCAGACATACAAGTGGTACATAGACATACATATAGGCAAAAACATACACATAAAGTAACATAATAATAAGTTAATTACCCTTCCCTCCAGCCCTCCCCCAAAAAACCGCAAAGCAGAAAACACCATAGAAAAAGAAGCCAAACCTGATAGCATGCCAAGTCTCCTTAAGCAACTATTTGGTCACCACATCAAAGGGCCACGATGCATGGAAAGCAATCACCTCAGCTGCCCTTAACCTATTAGCATTAGTTTTTGGCTGCTTTGGGGCTCCATGTGGCTTCCTTGCCATTTCTCCACTACCCACACCCAAATGGCCAGGCCCTTCTCACCTGCAATGGGGCTTTGGCCTCTTGGACGGAGATACCAGAAGTGTCTTTCTCGAATGCACATGATGTCTGCAGGGCTGTGAAGAAAGGAGATCCCTATAAACTCAACACTTTCCACAAAACCTCTGTCAAGCTCCTGAGGTTTAGAAGGTTCTGATGATCACCCAAGGGCCCACTGGACCCAGGAGCTGAGCAATGAATGACCTTCTTCATATTTCTCTTTCCCAGGCTGGCTCAGGAGCTGTGTTGGTTAGAATATATTGTCAACTGGATACAATCTAGAGTCACTTAAGAGGAGAGGACCCTGTGGGGTGGTGGTGGCGTATGCCTTTAATCGAAGCACTTGGGAGGCAGAGGCAGGCAGATCTATGTGACCAGCCTGGTCTATAGAGCAAGTTCCAGGACAGGCTCCAAAGCTACACAGAGAAACTGTGTTTTGTTTTGAAAACAAAACAAAACAAAACAACAACAACAACAAACAAAATAAATAAATAAATAAATAAATAAAGAAAGAAAGAAAGAAAGAAAGAAAGAGGGGCTGGAGAGATGGCTCAGAGGTTAAGAGCACCGACTGCTCATCCAGAGATCTAGGGTTCAATTTCTAGCACCCATATGGCAGCTCCCAACAGTCTGTGACTCCAGTTCCAGGGGATCCAATACACTCACACAGAAGGCAAAACACCAATTCATATAAAATAAAAATAAATTATAAAAAAAGAAGAGGGGACCTTTCCAGATGGTGGTGGTACATGTCTTTAATTCCAGCACTTGGGAGGTAGAGGCAGGTGGATCTTTGTGTTCAAGGTCAACCTGGTCTACAGAGACAGTTCTAGGACAGCTAAGGCTGCACAGAGAAACCCTATCTTGAAAAAAACAAAAAAACAAAATAAAATAAATAAAATAAAAAGAAACGGGACCCTCAGCTGAGAAACTGCTTATGTCAGGTTGGCCTATGGGTATTCTGTGGACCATTGTCTTCACTACTAATTGATATGGGAGGGTTCAGCCTACCGCAGTCTGGCAAGAGGCCTGGACTATTGTAAGAAACTAGCTAAGCATGGGCAAATGAGAGCCAGAAAGCAGGCTAGCAATCAGCATTCTTCCGGGGATCCTGTCTCTAGGTTCCTGCCCTACCTTCCCTCAATGATGGAGTGTGACCTGGAAGGAAAAGCCAAATAAACCCTTTCCTCTCCAAGCTGCTCCTGGTCAATGTTTCATCACAGCCACAGGAGGGAAGCAGGGCCAGAGTCAGACATTTGAGGGGCTTAACAAATCCCGGGGAACAGAAATGTCTTATCCTGAAAGAGAATGAGCCCTACCAGAGCAGTGGGCACTCACATGTCCCTAAAGGTCAGCCACAATGACCCTGCAGCAGGGATCCTGCAGCAGGCATGACAGTGTCCTGCTGCAGCAGGCCGGAGGAAAGGCATGCAGCTGAAGCTGCATCATGAAATTTCAAAAAGGACAGGGCACCTGTGGCAGGAATCCCCACAGTCCTGCCTTCCCTTCTTCAAAACTGAGAGACTGAGACTTGACAGCATGTGGCTCAAAGTCTATTGCTTCAACTGTGAAGTGGGGCCAGGCTGTCTCTACAGTCAGGGTCCGGAGAAAAGAACCCTGTCAGGTCTTCCCAGATGGGCAGGGCAGAGTGGTGGAGCACCACTCATCCTACTATGAGTCTGGTTGGAGTTACGACTCTACCTTCCCAGAAAGCCTCTTGGGAAAATCCCCAGGCCTGTGAAATTGATGACTCAGAAAAGGCCAATCAATGATCAGGCAGAGGGGTGCTACAGGGGTAATGGGGAAGCACCAGCCAAAAGGCCAGGGTTACAGAGGGCAGGGCCCCAGAAGACAGAGTCCACAGTTAGATATGGTGGTTCTCACCTGCAAACCAGTACTTGGAAGATTGAGATAGGGAATTACCAGAAGTTCAAAGTCAGCCTAGGTTATATAGTGAGACCTTGATACAAAAATCCCAAATAAAACCAGGTATGCTAGCACACACCTTTAATCCCAGCTTTAGGAGGCTGAGGTAGATGGATTTTGGTGAGTTCCAGGACAGCCTGGTCTACATAGTAAGTTCCAGGCCAGCTAGAACTATACAGTGTAGCCCAAACCATGACAACCACCATCAGCAGCAACAAAAATACCAAATAAATCTTTGTTTGCTTGAGTTAGGGCCTCACTATGATGATCTGAGTTTGATCCCCAAGACCCATGTAGTAGTAGGAGAGAACTGACTCCCAAAGGTTGTTCTCTGACCCTCCTTCACAAATGTTGTGGTATGTGTGCATTCACACCCAAACATGCATGCACACACACACACACACACACCACAAATAAATGCAATACACTTTACAAAAAAATAGAATTCTGAGTATTGAGAAGATCCTCCATAGGCATTCCCCTCAGGCTCCATAGTGGGTTACTTTCCATCTATATATTTATTTTACTAAAAAGTTTAAACCAGTGCCCACAGGGCAAGGTTTTCCCATGTGGCCATGTAGGCAGAGAAGGTGGATTTTAGACAGAAACTGGCAGAGTGGATAGATGGCCAAGCAGCAGTTCAGGCTTGTGAGGGTGTGTGTTTGATGTTAAGCTATCTTCCAGGGGTTCTATTGCCAAACATTCTGTGCCAATGTCAATATTTCAAGAGTTTGAAACTTGTGCCGGGTAGTGGTGGTGGTGGTGGCGGTGGCGGGCCGCCCCCACCCCCTTTGTCCCCGCCCCCCGGGGGGACGG